ATGAATCATCGGTATATCGTTCACTCGTGGTCGTGGCAGCCTGTAGCGGGGACAGTCAGGCATTTTAGGATCTTTTGTTGGACATTACAGGAATTTAAAAGCGTGTTTCATTTGGTTTCGGCTCAAGAAATGAATGCAGTCAAGGTCTTTACAGGTGTAGTGATACAAAACAGATCGACAGTAATCTTCTAGTTTGAGTGTTTGTTGTGACGTTTGTTGTCTGTTGAGACACAACCAGAGATGACTGAGAGTCTGCACTGTTTGGTAAACAGTCTGCTCCGCACAGGGTAAATAAAGAGTACATCTGTGTGCTTGTATAAAGGTGTTGGGGTTGGGTTGGGTCAGGAACAGGATAAACCAGAGGTTGACTTGAGTTTCTTAACCCCAGAGAATCCCAGTAAAACCATCAGTGGTATTATTTAATTCATCAGGATATATCTGTACAGAGACAAATACATACCAATTTAACAATTGTAGGTTATGTAACTGGTTGTTAAATAAAATTCTGTATGGATTTTTGTTTTGGTTGAAAGAAATCTGCCAGTGTGCGACTTCACAATGGTACAAAATCTGGGCCAACAATGCATTTCATGCAACACAGTTCTGTGGCTGAATAGCAAATCAATACGAATATTTTTCTGATAGATAGATAGATATATGTGTGTGTGTAAATGTTTATATATACATATATATATCACAGTTTTGTGAATGTGGCACAATCAAACATACTTTAGTCAAACTGACATTCAGTGAACTGGGCTCCGCTCATTATAGCTCATTTAAACAACAGAATTTGTACAATTATACTTCAGGTCAATAAAGGATGTGGATTCATCGCTCAGCTCTATACGAGGCTCCTAAATAATTTCGGGGTCAGTGACACAAAAACGTCAGAAAACCTTTAAACCCCTCAAACAGCTGATTCAGTGAGGTGTAAACTAATGGTTAAAATGATCCATTGAGTGAGGGAGGAGTCAGATTAAAAGGCGTAATGAGAGGAGTGTTCAGTGTGTGTGTAGTTATGGGGGGGGGAGTATCATAGCCTGTCTAGGGACCCAGAGAGAGCGGTAAAAAGGGGGTGGTGGGGGGGTGCACAGGGGTTAAGAGCGGTGTCACACCCAGAGAGACGCTGCGTCGCCGTCCTAATGATGTCTACCGGCCTAATTGAATATTGACGTTCTGCACGAGGGCTAAATGGCTTCTGTCTGCTTCACCTCCCCTGCCGGTCGGGGGCTGCACATTTTTTTTTAACCTGTTTCCACAGTTTGATTCCCCCCAGGTAGGTGGGGGCGAAATCATTAAATGTCCCTGTTACCATGGTTACCGCCTTTTTGATGCAGTCTTTTTGTTTTTGTTTTTGGAGCGGCTGTCTTGTGAGTTAAATATAGTTACAAAGAAAATGTTTTAAAGTTTCCAGCAGGTTTTTCTGTTCAGTTGGCTGTAGGAAGGTTTGACGAGGTTCTTCCTGAACTTAAACACGACGTCCGGCAGTGAAGTCTCTCTCTTTTTCTTTCCACGTCCTCCCTTGTCGTCCATTTTTTAAAATCTTTGTTTCACCTCCTTCCTCCCTTTTTGTTTTTTTTTTTAAAAATTCATTTATTTTATTCTTTTTTCTTAAACCCCTTTTGTCTCTCTTACTTCTGCTTCTATTTCTGTGACGGTTGTTCCACTTCCCACTGTGCCTGCCTCCAGACGCTTCTCCTTTGTTGCCACGGCGACGCGTTCCAGATGGCGAGTGTCAAGGCAAGACTGGGCTCCGAATGTAGTCTTATCACAATACACACACACACACACACACACACACACACACACACACACACACACACACACACACACGTTGGTCTACATATATACACACTGAGAACAGACTGAGACACTGGCAGCGTACATTCTGTTCAACAACTCACATCCTACTCAGATGCTGGTGGACGTGCACTCTGCCCACTATACACACACACACACACACACACACACACCAGTACAGTATAATAAAACCTGTGTCACAGCCACACAGGAAACAATCTCTCCTTTATGTGACCGGGATGTCATTAATCTTGGCGGAGGTTAACAAATGCACTTGCATGGAAGGTATATTTCATAGGCAAGACAGCCGACAATGGGGCCATTGTGGCGTCGAGCTGCAGCGTCCCGCTCTGCATTCTGTCAGGACCTTTTGGTTGGCTCCGGATCCGCGGCTCATGTCGGGGGGTTATGTTTCATCTCCCCAGATGAATGTGTTTATGCGGGAGAAAACATGTGAAACACGGGGAAAAATCAACGTTCCAGCTGTTTATTTATTTCTGCTGCAAGAAACCACGATTTATTTTTCTGAATGGGGGGAAAATAAATGCGTTCGGCCATTTTTCAAAGTTTGGCCTTGTCGCTATTAGTCAAAACTAGAGCCAGACAAATACCCTGCCAGTGCTTTCTGTGTGCAGCCGGCCGACCAGGGCCAGCTCTTCTCTGATTCACTGCTTTCTAAGTTTCTCCTCGCCACAGCAGCAGCAGCGCTATTTCCATCCCGAGAAAGTGGCGAGTCTTCCCAGTAATCCATTAGACTTCCATTAGCTCCGATTTGTGTGATTAGTTCTAATTAATCAGTTCAGTCTGTGGCCTTCACTCCCCTCCGCGCTCCTCACATTTCATTTTTAACCTCATTTCTCAGCTCTCCACCGAGCGAGAGAACGAGGCAACGACTGAGCGAGCAAATCAAAGAGCGAGCTCCAGGTCTGCCGCCGCCTCTTTGTGTCCGAGCGAACAAACACTCGATACTGTTCAAGCACCAGACCCAAACGGGCTGAACCGGTGCTTAGACTGCATTATAGTGCTCTTTTTTCTCTCACCATGCTGAATTAATAGGATTTTGTTTGGGGGGGGGTGTCTCACTTCGGCAGAGATGCTTCAGGAGCCTGATTTTAGATTTAGATCTCATGTTTTACACATCTTGAGTCTGCTTCGGACTCTGGTTAGCCCCACTCGGCCCTCCTGTCGAACAGTAAGTATCGATTAGCGCCGGAGCATCCATCCCTCACTTTAACAAAGCCTATTGATGTCTGTGGAGCCCTCATTTCCCCTTCGGTCAAATACCATACGCAGCACCATCGCTAAGTGGCTGGAAGCTGCTCCGAGCTCAGCTGTCTGTCCCAAAGTAACCCGGGAATAACGGAGCCAAAATCATCTTTTCATCACTGACTCTCTGCTGCTCTTGTGCTGCAAAACTCTAAATTAAAATTAAAAGAATTTTTTCTGGCCTTGTTGCAGTAGGTCAGCTTATATACTGAGGTATTATGTGGTGATAATCTATCTTCCTTTCCTCTGTTGTCAGCCTTCTTCTGCCATTACCACTATTGTGATAAATGAAGGCTCAATTTATCAACCAGCCTCTACTCGATTTCTTCTTCTCCCTTCAGTTTCCCCCCGCCCCCGCTCCTACGTCCAACCTCTGCATGGTTCGCTTTATTTCTTCATCTGTTTTCACCCTCTCCCTGCATCCATGCATCCATCCATCCATCCATCCATCCTTCTATCCTTCCATCCCTCATTCCCACTCAGCCAGATCGGGGCTTTCTTTGTGTCTGCTGGGGAAGGCTGAGATGCTGCCTGTCACCCCGGAGCTGCAGACTCCCATCCAGGCTGCCGGAGGTGGCCCGGCTGCTGTCAATCAATCTGTAGCCTGTGTAGCAGAGGGAATGGGGGTTGACACATGATGTGGCTCCCTACTGTTTAGAAATTCACTTTTTTTCTTCCTGTTTTAGTAGACCTGCGCAGTCAGCCGTATAGTTTTGGCTTCTAAATTAATTAAACTTGATTGTGAGTCTTTGAATTTTAAAGCGCCTGCTCTGGTGCATCAAACCAAGCGCTGCCTTTTTCACGGGTAAACAGTTGGACGATGCAGATGTTTGTTTCCATCTCATGTATTATCTCTACAAAGTGTTTTGTAACCTGCAAGTGCACAGTGATATACTGCAGTTACACGTCCTCTGGAGTAATAGATGCCTTTTCTTAATGCATCCTGTTGTGGAATTGTCATAATTTCAGGTTTCATGTGTATTAAACAAGACAAAAAACTCCACTGCACTCACTTTATAGGAATGTAGTCCTGTTTACTGCAGCCACTCACACCCTTAAAGCTGCTATAATCAGTATAAGAATCAGTAATCAGAAAGAAATATATGAGATAACTACAAATTGTATGAAAAAGGTCGCTCGACACACTCTCAGATAATTATCACCCAACTCTGCAACCCCCCTCAGCTTTATGTAGATTTTCTTGCATGCTTGATTTTATTTCTGTAGTTTTTAAAACGTTTCTGTTTTGGTTCAGTCCCACCGCTCTCATCAACCTTGTTTCCCAGCAGGGAGCTTTAAGTTCAGGAAAAAAATCTCTGATAAATGAATGCTAATGCTGCTCGGTGTCTGCTGGATCTGTAAATAAGCTTCACAAGATGACACTATATCAACTGACTTGTGTTTACAGTCGGTTGCACCGCTGTCAGCTGGCCAAAAAAATCAGTTAAAGTTGTCTTGTGGAGTTTTCTTGTAACTCAAATGCGTTGAATGCATTTCCTTCATCATAAAACATACGCAAAGCCAAGTTTTTAAGTGTTTTTAATCCCGTATTGTTCACTTCTAGAACCGCAACGATTTTTCGATTGAAAGAAAATAAGTCGCCAACTATTTAATCAAGTGATCGTTTCAAACATTTGCTGCTTCCAGCTTCTTAAATGTAAGGATTTGCTGCTTTTCTTTGGCATTTATGATAGTAAAAGTAGAGTATTTGGTTATTGGACTGTACATCCTGTTTGTCAGCTTGCAGTCTTCTTCTTGCCGCATACCTTGCCGTGTTACCGCCACCTGTGGATTAATGGAATAGTGTGAAGCCAGACGCTAACTTGAAACTTCCTGCAGCTGCTTCACAATAAAAAACCATGACCCGTTCCATAACCAGAGCCAGTCTCCTGATGAGTATTAATGTGATCTCTGTCCCTCTGTCTCTGCAGGACTCCGTGGTTTAACGGCTGGGGGTTCAACCTGCCTCGGGGTCAGTCTCTGCTGGATAAATGGAACCTCGTTCCCGAAGGCATCGACATCCTGATGACCCACGGACCTCCGCTCGGTGAGTCCAATTAGCCAATTACAGCCCCCTCGTCACCATAGCTAATGAGGTTGTGCCTCATTATTAAAAATCTGTATGGAGTCACCAGAGGCGTCGCAGGCTTCGTGTGTAAATGTGTGTGCGTGTACACAGTTTTTTCATCTAAAGCCAACAGTATCTGGAGCGAACATCCCTAACACGCTCTGTGATTCAATATTTGTGTTTGACTATATGAAAAAGAAAATTCATACAGACTGATTCAGTTTTCCTTCCAGTTGTTTGGGCCCCGGTTGTTTTTCTCCTTTCTGTCTGCGCTCTCCATCTGGCTTTATTGAGTGATTTCCTTCCCTCTCGCCTACGGAGGGCTGCTGCTGCCGCCGCTGCTGCGGCAGCCGCTGTGGCCGTTTGATTGCATGGAAACTCGATTTTGCACCAGTGTGACAGACGCTGCAAACGACAGGAGAGAGACCACGGGAGAGGAGAGCAGGGCTGCTGGGGGGAAGGGGGCTGCTGGGAGATGTAGGGTGGGCTTTTTCGAAAACTGGAAGAGACAAAATGGGAAAGAAAATCAGGGTGAAAGAAATATCGAGAGCAGGTTTCATCTGCCAGAATGTGTTTAGATTATTGTTAAACTGAAGAACAGTTGTGAGTTTTCAATTATTTCAGGGTTCAGTGTCAAGAGCTGGTTCTGAACTAGAGATGGCTGCAAATAGGAAACAGCGCTCGAAACCAAGGACGTCTCGCTGTCCCGGGGACGATATAAATAGCACCTGGGACACAAAGACACAGTTTCTGGAACAGTGGAGAAAATTATAATTGAAATGAATATCCATGAGGCAATATGTAATTGTTAGCTATTCAAATTTTAAAAAATACGAGATCAGTTCTACGCCACGTCTCATTACATTTAGCAACTTTTCACTCGACTAGCAACACATTTAGTGACTCATTCAGATCATAAAGGAAATATACAAATATTGTAAGTCATTCCCATGTTTGCTGTTGAGTCCAGTCTGCCAACGGTGCCGGTGTCTCTCCCTCTCCTCTTGGGCCGTCCACTGGCAGTCAGTAGGTGTGGCGTGTGGGGCGTGTTTGACCTCTCTGGATCTCGGGATTAGCGTCTTTGTATAGCTTATTAGTCAATAGTTTGTTTGACCCTCTCCCTCCCTTCAATGGTGGACCAGAGTGAGTCAATGAAGTGATGTGAGAGACTGAAAAATAAAGTTATTGAACTTTATTCATCACCTAGAATGAAAAAAACGAAAAAAAAGACGATGTCACTAGTTGTAGTTAGTTATTTAATTAAAAACTACCTCTGCAATTATGTCAAATAATTCCACGTGGCAAAGAAATAAAGATGTTTTTTTTAAGCATATAACCCGAATCAGAGCCAGGAAGCACTTGATGAAATTGATTAAGCCGTCCCGGGACTGTCTGAGGAACTGATTTTCAACAACAATCCACCGCGTGTGTTTGTGTAGGTTTCCGAGACTGGGTTCCCAAGGAGCTGCAGCGGGTCGGCTGCGTGGAGCTGCTCAACACGGTCCAGAAGAGGGTGCGACCCAAACTTCATGCCTTCGGAGGCATACACGAAGGTACTGAGAGTGACCTCTGGGGTCAGAGGTCAGGAGAGTCTGAGCTTTACGCTGTTAACAGAGGAATAACCTTCGACCTCTGCTTACTCTCTGTGGGTCAATGAGTAGACGTTCTGATGGACTGTTTGTCCTCTGTGTTGATTGTGCTGTATCAGACACAATCATTGCTTTAGTCTGTACGATAGCAGGGTGGAGGGTTACACGTGTAGAAAAAGGATCTTTTACCAACAAAGGAACAACATACAAACTCATATTTACTTACAGAGTGAAATACATTTTATTTATCCTTCAGAGAAATTCTAAAATTAACTCTCCTTCCATTCCTGCACTCAATAAACGTCATTATATCAATCCTAACACATTCAGACTACTTACATACATTAACACATTAATGGCATTATTGTGTATCGATCTTTAAGCTATAAAGAAATTTAGTGTTTAATAGCCAGAACCCAAATTATATGCACATATTTCACCCCTAAATAAAACTGTACTAAACTCAAGCTACTCATAGCAATTAGTGCCAAGATGAGAATAATGGAATAAAGGTGATAAATGAAATGTTAGAATTTAAGGGCTCAGTTTATCGAACACCTCCTCTCTCTAACTGCGTACTTTCTGACAGTTGGGTGATTGAATGTTTCCTCTCCTCAGGCTACGGGATCATGACAGACGGCTACACGACGTTCATCAACGCGTCGACCTGCACCGTCAGCTTCCAGCCCACCAACCCCCCCATCGTGTTCGACCTGCCCAACCCCTCCAGCTCCTGAGACCAGAGGAACGTGGGGGGTGGGGAGGGGGTGCGGGAGAAAGGGTTCACGGGGGGGGGGCAGAGGACAAACTACTTTTTGTTTTTCTATAAATATGTCAAGTTTAAAAAAAAAAAAAAAAATTCTAAGTGTTTCTTTGCAAACTTTTTCGTCTTCTCCGAGCTGTCGTTTGGGATTGAGAAGATTTGGAGAGGTGGGGCGGGGTGGGGAGTTCGTCTGGGAGGGTTAAAGGAGAATACCGGTGATTTATTTCTTTTTCTATTTGTGCCAACAATGCTGGTTCGCCCTCTCAGACTTTTGTTCTTTCTGCACACACTCGGCGTAGTTGCAGATATCAGGAGCTTCGATCTGAAAAATAAAACGTCCACAAAGATTAATCCATGAAGAAACTTTGTGTTTTCATCCGGATTTTTGTGATGCAGAGCTGAGCAGTTTTTCTATCGGTGCTATTCAACGTTACGGTCTGCTTCCTGTTAATCACCACAGGAAGAAATGGAAAACTCATCCAGGAAACAATCCCTCAAAAATATGTTGCCTTAGTGCAGAATGCCAGAAGAGAGCCGGTTTTATTTTCTGCATCTTGACAAAGATAATTTCATTTCTTTTGGACAATTTCATGATCACAGAAAAACAAAACGTGAGGGATATTTACACTCTCGTCCTCCACGGCCTTCCCTATCTTTAGTACCATCACATCTGCGTGCGTTTGGTTTATATTTAAACAAACAAGAACATTTAAGTCTAAATAAATGCCGAATGTGGTGCAAAGATTTCTGACAGGGGATGTAAAAATGAGCTACGAGTGGCACCGGTATTCTCCTTTTTTTTCAGAGGGATTTTGTGGTTAAACAATCTTGCTCTTGATAAATATTGGTCAGATCTGTAAGATAAATGATGCTTTGTGAATTTGTACAATTTCTCTATGTTTGGTTTGCATTGGCCGGACAATGGATGCCATTGTTTTATGTTGTATCATCTGATATTTTGTGTTTTAGGTCTCTTTTTTTTTTGTTTGTTTTCTCGTCAGTTCTTCTTTTCTTATTGGCTGACAGGGACGCTGCCTTAAACTAGCTTTAATGTTCTCAGCTAGAGCCCCACTCTCTGCGAGCTCAGAGAAAAAAAGTCCTTATTTATTACCCATCATCCCCGCAAAAAAAACACCTGACTAACGCAGGGACAGAAAGCTATCAAATTGCAACCTGAAAAAATTTAACTTTGTAACATCCCATTATGGACTTCTGATCTAATTTGGAAAATGTATGTATAAAATATATATATATATTATATATTCATGTTGTAAAACATCTGTACTAAAAGTTGTGTTTGACGAAAAAAATAAAATCTGGTGCTTTTTTTTTTTTTTTTTCTCCTGTATGCACCTGATGTATGATTGACATGTTTCTTTAATCCTCCCATCAGACGCTCTTCAGAGGTTTCTTTCATGTCTTTTGTAACTCCCAGTAGGGCAGACATTCATTTTGGATGAGAGAGGAAAAATTTGTCAGAGTCACAATCCAAACAGGTGCTGTTTGTTCCCAACAACACACCTGCCTAAACATGGTTAAGTTGTCCTCTTTTTAAAGTGTAAATCTGATAGTATTTGTGTTTTATTGCTTTTTTTTCTCTCCTAATTTTGCACTGTGTGTAAATGCAATCTTGCTAGCACAAAAAAAAATGTTGCCAATAGTTGTCTCAACTTTGCCGCTGTAAATGCTCTTTCCGTGCTCTGTTCCTCTCTCGCTCTTTCTCTGATTGTATCCCTCTTCATGGAAATGTTAGTTCTCTCTTTCAGTTCATTGTGATATATTTAGCTGCCTTTATATGCAAATAAAATTGCAAGATTTTTACTTATCGAGCCCCGTCTTGGTTTTTAATCTTTAAAATGTGACCAGTCTTAAAGGTTTTAATCCAACTTTTAAGTCTCCTGAGGCTGGAAATAAACAATTATTTTCATTATCGATTAGTTGTGTGGTCCAGAAAGTTGTGAGAATATGTTGATCACTGTTTCCCTAAAGCCTAAAGTGACGTCTATTTACTGTCATATACGACTAAAACCAGAAAATATTCACATTTCAGAAGCTGAAATTTAGAAATTTGGAAGCTTTTCTTTCAAAAATGACTCAAGACGGCGAATAAGGTTTAAAAATAGTTGCTGATTAATTAAATAGTTGACAGCTAATCGATTAATTGACTAATCGTTGCAGCTCTACAGTCTAAGGTCATGTCTCGGGTCCTCAGTACTTCACACCAACTAATCTCAAACAGAGGATACATTTGTGAATCCTGTTGTAAAAACAAAACTAAATGCTGTGTTTGTGTCTCGAGTTCAGGAAAGGTTGGGACAAAGTCATTGTTTCTTAAGATAGAAGGAAAAACCAACAAATCCCCAAGTCCTACACAAGTCATTATGTGTCCTTCGCCCAATTTAATGCTGTTTTTACAGCTCAGTAAATCTACAGAAATCTTTTTATAGCTAATTAATTGATTAGCAGATGGATCAGATGTGCTTTAGTGTTCTACTCTTGTGACCAAACTACAATAATTTGTGATTTCTGACCTGCCTGTTTGTTGTTGTTGTTGTTGTTGATTGGCTGCTTTCAGACTGATTTGTGGTCGAAGGGGAAAAGGAAGAGTTGGCTCGCTGCGTGTGTTTTAATAACGTACTGTTTCGTGTTTTGGGCTCCAAAGTCCAAGTGTGACGTCCCCATTCATTGGTGTTCAAGTCGATATCAAGTTATCAGAGTTTGGGTCATGTGACTGGAGTTTATACCTCTGCAGAGTATCGCTGGTTAGGTTTGTGTCCGACTCGCTCTGGCGTTGTGCACATGTGGGCAACGATAACCGACTGAAACAATGTCTGTGTGATTTTAATATTTAGTTTAAAGGCTGTTTTTGTGTCTCGTGTTGGTTTAACCGGTTCACAAACACATCCAAGCGCGTTTTCCGTCGTTCTCATTCGCTTGTGTTGACGTTTATGTTGTCCTGACAACCAATAAGAGAATAATAAAGTATTAGTTTGCAAGTAGCCTCTGCATTTACATTTCTTACATTAGCAGATGTATTCTTTGTATACGCGTGTAATGGAAATCCTGACATTGGACCAATGCAGCTGTGAGAGGGCTTGGCCTACTTGCGTATGAGAGCCATTTGTATACTTATTTACAAAAGTATCTGTATCTGTAGAGCTCAATATCACAGCAGGCAGAACACCTGCTGGCCCTGATTTGTTGGCGAGGCCAGAGGAGCAACACGTTTAAAAGTCTTGACCCACAGATGAATATAAAGGCAGTGCAGCAGCAGCTTTTTCCCCCCCTGTGACTGTAGATAGAAAACTTAAAGCTGTAAATGTAAAAGTTTACTAAAGATGTTATGCAACATGTTTTTATGCTGTTAATTTGCATATAGAAGCAAGAGAATGTGCCACCCAATAAGCTGATCAATATTACTCGACATGTTCAACCACATTAAAAGTGGTGATAAATTCTAGATTTAAACCTTTTTTTTTAACAGATCAACAGTTGACTTAACATGCTTCACTCAGCAGGAGAGAATAAAAAAAACACGGCTTTGTGTTTCTCCCACACTTGTTATCTGAATATTCACAATGTTGCGGCTCCAGACCTGCTTCGTTTTCTCATTGGTTTCATCAGGTTTCATTCCTTTTCACCGCTCGCCAGCACAGATCCCTCGTAGGCCAAAAATAAAATGGGCTTGAGTTGCAGGGGCGCCTTTGCCAGCCTCTTTCCCACCAACCCCCTTTCTCTCATCACCACAACATCAAAGCAACCCAACCAATTAACTATTCCCCGAAACGAGAGCAGCAAAGCATCGCCCCACACCCACCAGATCCCACTGCACATTACCATAATCCAGTCTAATCATATTAACATAGGCCGCAGATGAGCAGGAGGAGACACGGCTGCTCTGGCTCTGCTGTGTTCGTTCACCCTCTTTAGTGTGGGTGTGAATGCATACGGCCACTTTTATGCTGCCCATGTTGTGTCTCCGCAGTGTTCAGTGCTTTAATACATGGGCCCTGATACTGTAGTCCTTTATTATAGCCCGATACTCCCTGGCATGCTAATTAAGTTATATGCTAAACACCTTCCTGTTAACATACTGACCGTACACGTTAACGTGCTAGAAATGTCAACATTACATGCTATTTGTTAGTACAAATGCTAGTTTCCATGGTAACATAATACATGCTACTTACAGGCAAATATATATATATAAGTTAAATGTCAGAATCTTAATGTTTGCCATCACATGCTAAATGTTTGTATGTGAACATACTAACTGTGCAAATGTTAACATATTTCTAGAATGTCAGAGAAAAGTCTGACAGTATGGAGTCTTATGGAGAAATTACCCTACGTCTCGCTTGATTTAAACAGTTTTCTCAGATTAAAACTGTGTAATCTAACATATTTTAGTGTTTACCTGTGAGCAGGTGAGCCGGCACTGGCTCCAAAAACATCGATCTACATACTTCATACTTTATTCGCCTCGAATACGAGCGAGCGCTACTCTTTCCTGGACGTGACTGACTCCTCGTTGTTTTCATGTTTCTACTTTTGACCTTTTTTTTAATCAAATAATTAGACTAATTGTTCATCTTTCAAACCAACAGAGCTTCATGTCAAAGCACCAGACTGGGAAGAGCTCCGGCAGTCAGTCACCTGACATCGTCTACACAGAAAAGAGACAATTAAGTTGGCGTTATTAGCGTCACAGAGAAATCTTTTCCTGGATTATGAGTCTCTCTCTCTCTCTCTGTGTTAGTAATAGTCTCTCCATCAGTCACTCTACTTCATGTCTCCGTCAGGACGTTTATAGCTCCGCCACATTGCCGGCCGGATTAATTATCCTTGCGCAGGCAGCTGCTGGTGGTATTGGGTGTTTGTCAGGTTAGCCTTCGTCTGCTGCTGATGGATACGGGGGCAAGATGCGGTGAAGGCTGAGCAGCCATATCAACCTATGTGTTAATGTGTGTGTGTGTGTGTGTGTGTGGCTTACTCTGGTGCCAGCACTCTGCATGCAGTGTTTATATGGACTTAATTGCCCGCCGGTGGTATTATTGTAATCTGGAGCTCGTTTGGCACGAGTGGAGTTAGCTATGTAATAATTCTCTAAATCAAGAGTCATGCAGACTCATGCTTTCCATGCTCTCATCCCCCCCCCTCATGTGGTCTCACTTAACATCTTTTTAGACTAAATATTTTATTATTACAGTTTATATTATTTGGGGTTTATTTGAGGGGGAAAAAAAGAGCTTTTATGAAGTCAGAACGGACACAGAAATGTGAATGTGGTTGCAAATCAGGCCTCCGTTGCTTTAATCGAATGAGTTCCTAATGTAAAACTTGATTAAATTAAATAGAAAAGTTCATTGGCTAATGATAGAGCTTCCCTAATTATTTTTTCGACTTAATTATCCCCCCCCCACCACCACCTTTGCATAGCGATGCTGTCATGTCTCTTTACATTCTCAGGTTTTAAAGGAATCTCTCAGAGCTGATTGAACTGAAAGAGAATTGACCCCCCCCCCCCCATATCCCTCCCCCTTGGTAACAATACATGATTATCACAAGTGGATCGGCTGAATGACGGGAGATGATTAGTACCTCCGCCGTTTCTTTACATCACCGCCCGAGACAAAAGCAACATTTGTCTGATGGTATATAATTTACCTCCTTCCTGATTTTCACTCTCCTGTCTCTCTCTTGTCTCGCCCGCCGATTTGTAAGCGACTCATTAATTAGTTGTGTGGGGGGTTTTGGAAAATTACCGTAATTACAGTTATTGGCCGCCATTGTTCCATTATTCGCTAATCAAGAACATTGCTCGACGGACAATCAGAGTCCTTGACAGTCGAATATGTCAGTGTGGCTTTTTTCCTCTAACGGTTAAAATCTCCACAGCAAAAACCGGTGTGTGCAGTCGTTCTGACATCGCAGAAGCACATAATTTAATGTAAACATGTTTTTAAACCAGCTATTATTACAGATTATATTGATATAAAATCATATGTTACATGTGAATTCAGTACTTAAGCAAAATAGGCAAAACTGGTTTTAGTACGTGCGACCAAATAACCTCAACTCAAAGCTCAACTTACAGAAAAATGCCAGTTTTTCCGAAAACACGGCTTCTCTCTGGAAGTCTGTTCCACTTAATATCTTATGGTATTTGGGCGAGCAGGAAGTCAGGGGACCTTCACCATCATGGTAACGATAATAAACACGTTAATTAACGTTATGAAATGGTCGTAGTTTGGTTTGGTTTAGGAAAAGATCATGATTTTGGTACATTTGTGCAATAGGTGTTTGTTTTTGGAATAACAGTCTGTCGGACAAATTGGTTTTTGGTGCAGTGAGACTTTTCCGGACTGTTTGGGTTTCAGAATAACGAGCCGCCGTTTTTTCCTACTCAAACTTTCTCCGGTTGCCCTCTGACTCCTACTCGATGACTTTGAGCCCCTCCCCCAGTCGATACTCGTGTTGGATTTTGTTGATTGTTTTCTGCAGTTCGTTCGGTCTCTTCGTCCAGGAATGATAGAAAATTCTCAGACCATTTGGGCTTCAAAATATTTTAAGACCTGCTAGAAAATGTCAAAAGTAACTCATGATGTTAAATTAGTTTGACAAAAGTCATTCTGGTTACACAAAAGCAAGAAATAACAAAACGGTGACTGTAGCTGCACAGAAACAGGCAACACCCAATAAACAGCAACAAAAATCTTAACTCAAGGTCCACTTCACTGGCTTTCTGAAGAGCTTTCAACTCATGTTTCTATCCTTTACACTCAACAGGTACACAGTGTTTCATGGTGAATCCAATAAAT